ATAAAGTATACAAAAAATAAAAAATAAAGTTAAAAAACCATGTGGTGTAATTTTTTTCAAACCTCAAGGACTAAATTTGAACTTTTTAGAACTGATTTGCAAAAAAATTAACCAACTTAACCATGAAACTCGTTAAGTGAGCTAGAGTGATAATTCTGCGAGAAAGTTGTGGCCACAACAATAATAATAAAAAAATATTATGACTTTTTCCAATTACGCGTTAAAAATTTAAAACTTTTATAATATTAACCTGTCACAAAATGACCTCTGGTGTTTACTCGAACTCACGACTTCTTTTTTCAAGCCCAAGTGTTTATGTCTTATTTTATAAATCTTTTATGTCCTATCCACATAGGATTCTTGTTTTTGTAGTTAAAAGGAATATAATAAATGAATATCATCCCTTCTAACATTGCTATAAAATATGATACATAATACTTTTTAGTCATATACAATAAATTATATTTTAAATGATTGTACTGTATTGTTGTATCAATCATAATTTGTTGTGTATGAATAAAAAATATTGTATAGTTGTATAAATCATAATTTATTGTGTATGAATAAAAAATATTTTGTACGCATCATCGTCCTTTACGATTTCACATTATGTTCTAACAATATCGGTTTCTTAAACATTTATCCTAATATCCAAGAGTATTCTAAACGTAACTTAACATGACTAAAGCCTCATTTAACATATTAAATGTAAGTTAATTTTTAACTGATAAATTAGGTTATAAATTAATAACATTTACTAAAAGTATTTTATAAGTTAAATTGCAATGTAACATGAAATAAATATATATATTTAAATATATAACTAAAACAATTAGATATCATTCAAAACATTTTTAAAATATTTTTGAAAAAAACTCCATAAACTTAACAAAAATTATTTTAAAATAACTTATGAAAATCTAGATTATAAGTTGATAAGCTAAAATAAATTACTTTTATGATTTTAACAAATAACAAAATAAACTAATTAACTTTAAAAAACAAAACCTACATTTTTATATACTTGTACCTTAATTAAAATTAAAAGTTATCTAAGAAAAATATTTCATAAGATAATTTTTTTGTGGTAACTTTTTCGGATCTAAATTCTAAAAAGGCAGAAACGGAGGTAAAAGTGATGGTGAAGTAGCATGCGGTGGTCGTGCAGTTGCAGGCGCAAGTTAGCATTCCAACGGTAGAGTTTCGGCTTCTGACAGGCGGGAGCCCCTATGAATCCATGATCTTCAGTCAAACAAAACACTTCAAAGTCTAGCCCCTTTTCATACACGCAATTATATAGCTATCTCTATATTCTCATTAAATTCCTTGTCGTTTAATTATTTAATTTTTAGATAGTCTTAAAGAAAACAAAACGATGTCATTTGATTACATCGAAAAAGTTCAAAAAAAAAAAAAAAAACATGCAAATACCAATTTCGAAAATCTAAGTTTTATCTATGAACTTGGATTTTTGTATTAAAAAACTAACAATTAGTTTTTTTAAAACAATTTTTTATTCTTACACTACAAATATACTCAAGTTTATTTAGGGATGTTTGAGATAGTTTATTTTACACAACTTATTTTTTTTAAAGTATTTATTATGTTATCTGGTGTCAAAATAAAGATGTAGAAAATATGTTTGGACTACATTATATATATATTAATTCACAAACGGGTTGGTGAATGCCACATTAATTTTTGCTTTACACGGTTCTAACCACTGTTCTTTAACTGATTTAACACATTGGACACACCCACCGCCTTTATCTTTCCTTCTTTATTTGTTTTTCCCACGTAAGGTCAAACGTTCCTTCACCATTCGTCAAACCTTCCTGCTGCTTCTCAACTCTTCTTCCTTTTTCTGTCGATCAGTTCTTCAGGTTTGTTTCTGTTCTTCGTTGTGTATTGTGTGTTTTTCGTTTCCTCTTTGCATCATGGCTCTTCCTTCCACTTCCCGTTTGGAATTCCGACAAGGGGTTTCGTCGTCGGCTTGCAGGTGACGACGACATCGAGTTGACGGCAGAGAAAGACTGGGCATTCATGATGCAGAAAAAAGAAGAACAGCTTCTTCTTCTATGATGACATCTGCAGCAGATTCAATGGCCTCGAGGAGCGTGGAAAATACTTAATAAAGCACCTTAGCAAGACATGACTATGAATCCATTGCATCATAATAAATTATTATTTTTTCTCCGACTTTTGAATTGTCGAAGCAAGAACTTTATGCGAGAGTCGAAGCACCAAAGGGAGAATTGGGAATTTTTCTGATAGGAGATAAGGGTGTTTTTCCTTGGCGCTATAAAATTCGCCCACCGGGGTTTATTAATTTGCAAATTCTTCCTCAGTTAGTTAAAAGAATGAAATTGGCTGATATTATGATGATACTAGGTACTATAGATATCATTATGGGAGAAGTTGATCGTTAAAATGATAATTGATACTCTCACTCATTGCTTACATTCGAGAAGTAGCAGATCTTATTGAAGCAGCTCAGACGAAATTAGAAGAAGCTTCGCATTTTAACCTAATTAATCAAATGCGAACCACAAAATTTTCATTCCAGATGCGAACACAGTTTAGTTCTTGAACTCTAAACTTGCGAAATCAAAAATTCATATGTTGAACCCATATGCGAATATTAACCCAATTGACTTCAAATTGATTCACAGATGCAAACACTCGATTGTTTTACTTTCGCAAAATGAGCATCAACAACTTCACAATCGAGTTTTTAAATTCTTGCAAACAACAATTTCACAGTCCTTGACTTTGCGTTTTTCTTCACAAATATGATTGCTTCTCAATGTTTGTGTTAATCGTATAATTGAATTTTTTTTTCTTCTTCTGCGACTTCAATTTTGCTTCTCATTGAATTTGTTAATCAAGGTTTCTATTTATCTTTGATTCAGAAGTTGTTTATTAATTATTTTCTATCTTAAATTCTTTATTCGATCCACTCAATTGATCATCGATGTGTATGTGTATGTGTAAAAATAAGCTTCTCTTACGTATGTCTGTGTGTATCTCTTTAAAAATTGTACAATTTCATCATTTTATGACCCCCATTTGCGAAGTTGAATATTTATTTCCAAAAATGCGAAACTCCAGGGATAATATTTGAAAATTTCTGTTTTCTTCCCCAATTCGCATTCTACTGTGAAATACTTCGCATCTTCATTCTTACACCCTTCGCATCCATTCGCATTAATCACCTTCGCATTTTAACCTAATTAATCAAATGCAAACCACGAAATTTTCAATCCAGATGCGAATACAGTTTAGTTCTTGAACTCTAAACTTGCGAAATCAAAAATTCATATGTTGAACCCATATGCGAATATTAACCCAATTGACTTCAAATTCATTCACAGATACAAACACTCGATTGTTTTACTTTCGCAAAATGAACATCAACAACTCCACAATCGAGTTTTTAAATTCTTGCAAACAACAATTTCACAGTCCTTGACTTCGCGTTTTTCTTCACGAATCATCCATCAATTATCAATCCAATTGCGAATCAAAACTCATATGTTCTTGCTTTATCGATTCATCGACTACACTCATACAAATGCGAACAATACTCAATTTCAAAATCGATTGAAACTTATAGCAAAGCTAAATCCAACTTCGCATTCAAAGCAGTGTTATTGATTGCATTCATGAAATACTAACAAGATAATATATTATAATACAAATATACATATTTTAGGTGGTGAAATCGTAACAGCCTAACAATTTGGTATTTTCATTCCAGATGCGAACACAGTTTAGTTCTTGAACTCTAAACTTGCGAAATCAAAAATTCATATGTTGAACCCATATGCGAATATTAACCCAATTGACTTCAAATTGATTCACAGATGCAAACACTCGATTGTTTTACTTTCGCAAAATGAGCATCAACAACTCCACAATCGACTTTTTAAATTCTTGCAAACAACAATTTCACAGTTCTTGACTTCGCGTTTTTCTTCACGAATCATCCCTCAATCATCAATCCAATTGCGAATCAAAACTCATATGTTCTTGCTTTATCGATTCATCGACTACACTCATACAAATGCGAACAATACTCAATTTCAAAATCGATTGAAACTACTGGTCCCAAAAAACCTACTAGCAGATCTTATTGAAGCAGCTCAGACGAAATTACAAGAAGCTTCGCATTTTAACCTAATTAATCAAATGCGAACCACAAAATTTTCATTCCAGATGCGAACACAGTTTAGTTCTTAAACTCTAAACTTGTGAAATCAAAAATTCATATGTTGAACCCATATGCGAATATTAACCCAATTGACTTCAAATTGATTCACAGATGCAAACACTCGATTGTTTTACTTTCGCAAAATGAGCATCAACAACTCCACAATCGAGTTTTTAAATTCTTGCAAACAACAATTTCACAGTCCTTGACTTCGCGTTTTTCTTCACGACATAACGTCAAACTATCCATTGACAATTTCCACATAAATATTTATCATCATTTAAATGCAACACAGCGCCAAAGGCGCACACTTGATTCCTGCTAGTTTGGTATCAAAACGTAATATATTAAGCAAATTGTTTATTAATATTTGATAAGTTTTATGTTATGTAAAATGATTGAAAAAAAACATTACATATTACTGTTTTCTTTGTTTTTTATAATATAGTTTATCTTTTGTCATTTATAATAGAAAAAATAACACAATAACCCTACAATGTATTACACATTTGTCTCTTAAATTATTTTCATATTTTATGAGAGAACAAAGTTGTTTCTGTCCGGTCTATTTGATCATTTTGAAGAAATGAAGGGATTAATTAGTAACCTCTGAGCCACCTCATCTATAACACTCATTACAATATACTTTTATTTTAAAAATTAAGTGGACCCCATTTTAACCTCATCCACAATCTTTTGCATGTCCAAAACGACACGTCAGGAAAATGTGACTAAAGGCTCATTTGCGGTTTATCTTATATTTTTCCCGAATCGACTCTTCACCGTTTTAGACGCCTCTTGATTGTCGGGGTCGAGGTGCCTCCTATTTTGCATTAACAGCAAAATACTTTGTGAGCTGGATGATTTCAGTCATATATCTCTCCAAAGTTGAATTCAATTGTACCATTTGTGCTATCATTTTCTCCGATCTAGTTGGCCGCTCAGTTCCGACTGACGAATTTGAAGATGTCGCTTTCTCTTTTCCTCTTGTTTGAGCTTTTGTTTTGTCCCTTCCCATTGGTGGAGGAGGCGGGCGTATTTCTTCGATTTCACCGTTAACATCATTAAGATTAACGCCTACGTGACCATCCGATGACGCTTTTTGTGAGCTCGAATATGAAGATGTTCGACTTCTTTTTAACGGATTAGCAATTTCTTCATGCGTTGCAAGTTCCCTCCACCCGATGGTTCTTTTGACAACTTCTCACACATGAATAAACTTAAAAGGCTTTGGTATATCATCTTGAAATGTAGCGTGCGTTTTTTTTTTCAACAAACTCTCTTCACTTTCTCCACTAGCTCGTTGCTTTTCAAAGTTTGTGTAAATTCCATTCCAATGTGTCACGGGTTTTTTCATAAGATTTCATTTCGAGTTACATTGGTCGGAGGTCCGATAATCTGGATCTCGACCCATTCCCTTACAAAACCGCCACGTGATACGTAACCAAAATTGATCACGATTTTGACCATTTCTCGTGCTACCATCTTCGAATATTTCAACCCATGCCTTTGCCAACTCAATTTCTTCTTTTTGTGTCCATCTTCTTGGATCGGCCTTCCTTTTTTTTCTTAAGGTTGTTGTTCCTCGTGTTCGAAATCAGAAAGAATTTCGATTGAAGGTATGAAAGACGGTTGGGATTGAAATTGAAATTGGGTTTAAGATGGTTAGGTTTGTGGTTGGGATTGGAATTGGATTTGTTGTAGCATTTGGAATTGTGAATAATAGCTAAGAACAACATCCATTTGTGGCCGGTAAGGTGGTGGTGATAACGGATCATAGCCGAAAAGTATGAATTGGTTGTAAACATTTTGGTTTGGATCATTTTGCTTGGAAGAGTTTGTATTGTGGAAGACATTTTGAATGAAAATTATGTAAATTGGTAAAATGTGTTGGAATAATGGTATATATATATATATATATATATATATATATATATATATATATATATATATATATATATATATATATATATATATATATATAAAGTAAATTTGTTTGAAAAAAATGAAAAAGTAGTCGTTGCCAACTGTTGGTAACGTTCCATTCCAAACCAGCATTCCATTTTTAAATTTTAGCCACCGGTAAAAATCCATCATTGGTATTGTACCGGCGGTAATTCTTTTGGTGGGGCCCAATGTTTACCGACGGTAAATGAGACCATTTAGCCTAATAATTTAAAATGAACAAAAGGAACAAAAGACATGTTTTATCAAAACATCGCGTTAATAAGGGAGGAAGGAGTCCAGGGGATTGAACTTTTGGTACAGGTAGGGATGACAATGGGTACGGGTATAACGGGTTTCGTGTTCCCCACCCCCATACCCGAATCCTCATCCCCATCCCCATACCCGACCCCATCTCCATCGGGGATTAAAAATCTATCCCCATCCTCATCCCCAATGGGTATTGGTGATTTTTCTCCGTTACAAAGTTTTGAACTTTTATGAAAAATAACTCATAATTATACATTAACCAACAAAACAAAAACTAACAGAACTAATATAAAACACTATAATCACTGAATGTCTTCAAACACGAACAATAACATTTAAGGTTACAAATAAAATCATTTTTTACAAAAAAAAAAATATAAAAATTCTTACCAAAACTATACGTTTGATTGTTAAAAAACCTTACATTGTCTACTGAAAATTTGCTTATGCATTATTAAAAATAAAAACATAAGTAACAGTATATATATATATATATATATATATATATATATATATATATATATATATATATATATATATATATATATATATATATATATATATATATATATATCGGGTACCCCTCGGGGCCGGTTTCGGGTACGGGTATGGGTACCCGACAGGTAGAACCATCCTCATCCCCATCCCCACTTTTTATATTCGGGTATACCCATTCCCATCCCCGGTCAACTCGGGTTAGGGTTTCGGGTACCCATCGAGTACGGGTTTTTTTGCTATCTCTAGATACAGGAGGTACCGCCGGCATATGGTTCCTAGCAAACAATGGGTTGAACGGTTTCATCCATTTACTCCACTCAGCGGGTTTATCAACCCGTCTATTTTGTTTTAATTGCATATTGAATGAGAAATAAACATAAAATATTGATTCATTTTTTTTTATGCATGTGGGGTTGATAACCTGTTCTCTTATTTCCTTTTATTATTATTATTTTTTTGTTTTCATATAAACTAGGAAAATGGCCATTGTTTCGCGTGGTTAGAAGTTTTCTTTAAAATTGTATTAAATGAGTTGAGTGGATTGGGAAAGATATGATTTCTATATGTTGTGAGTTGGGAGGGTTGTAAAAGAAATAATAGAAAAAAACGATGATGTGGTAGTGGGTTGAATGAATTAAGAGGAAAGGAGTCCCTCCAATGTAGTAAAAGAAAGAACCTGCCTCAATTTGCCTGCTTGTAAAAATAATGGAAAACATTGACATGAAGTTGTACTTACTATTGTAATATTGTTATATTGTAACATCTCGGATAGACAAAAAAAATGACATATTTAACGAAATATAGCCACATTGGAAATACATGCAACCCTCAAAATATTGCAGTTGGATTTAATTGTAAAATATTAAAAAAACATAAACTATTATATAAATTTAAATTACACTTGATGTCACCTGAAAAAAATGTCGATAAAATATCCAACATTCTACACAAAAGTTATTATTCTTCACCCAACACTAGGATGTTTACTAAAAAGGACTTTTATGTCTCGTGCCCCTCATAGGAACTAAAATCCCCATTTTCTCCTTTTGGCTGAAATCCTATTCACCAAGTCATGAAATGCATATTATGCTAAAAGAAAGTTAAAGGTTAATAAATTTATGAGTGTAGAATAAATAACATAACATAACCATATATTTAAAATCAGAACATGTTTAAATGAATTAAATTCACAACGATTAAGTGGCGGACGCATGAATTAATACTAGGAGTTGTATAAATTTTTTTTCTGGTCAAACATAATATAAAACATAAAAATGATTCATTACGTCTAATATAATTTTTTTCTAGTCAAACATAATACAAAACATAATATAACAACGATTTATTACAATTTAAATTTGTCCTTTTTGTGCAGATATTTTTTGAAACCGCTCCATTACTTTTTTATTCTCACATTTTGCAAGTGCTTCATTCTCAACATTGCAAGGTCACGCGTCGTTTAAAAAGTCATCACCAACTTTGTTGCACAAGTCGGTCTTCAAACTTCATTTTTGAAAAACATCTTTCTACATTTGCAGTCGCTACAGGTAATATCAAAGCCAACTTTAAAAACTTAGATAGCAATTAAGGTAATTAAATTTAGATGTGCTGGAGAACATAATTGTGACTATAATTGTGTTTGCGTAATAAATTTTACATAGCCTATTCATCATTATAACTAATTTTGTGTTTGATTGTGTGTGAACATGCATAGTTTTACATGAATAAGTTAATTATTGATAAATTTAGACTTAAATTACTAATATAATATAAATTAGAAAACCAACTTTGACAATCCATAATTGTTAGCTAACCAGATAGAAGAAGTGGATTCGAACCAAACATGAGTGTTTTTAGTAATTGGTTGAATTTCGTGTTAGTAGAATTAAATTCATCTGGTCTTGTAAAATCAGATAAAAACCCCAACTTTGTTGATAATTTAGGTTAATTTAATAGTAGATAGGTTAACTAATCAATATCGTTCTCTGAGATCGACATCCGACTTACCCGACTATTTTATAATTTTGACTAGGTACATTGTTTAGGTTCAATTAGTTAGTTAAGATAGTTAGGTTAAAAATATTAAAATTAGGTGTAGCTACTTGCATACATCACACGCCACACCACTACTGCAAGATCTGTAAGGATGTTATAGCTATATATAACCAGAGGTAAGATAGACATTAGAATAGAAGATCCTACTTTAGAGCTACAACTAAACAAAGAACATGCAAGAAAGCCTAGATCAAGAGTTCTTATGCTATGCTACATGACTACATACAACTGTAACACCCGTAGATCCGGGCTAGTCAATTTAGAGACGATAGACGTCAAAAATGAATTTTTGATGAAAGATTATTTAGAATGAATAATCTTAACTAAGTTATAGTATATGTTACAAGGTTTCCGTGCATATAAAAAACGCCGAAATCCGAGTCATAACGAAGAAGTTATGACCTGTCGAAGTTTCGCGACGGAACCGACACGACGCTGAATGACGTAAAAAGTGAATTTATGTTAGATTGATATTTAGCCTTAGCAATCTAAACGAAAGTCGTAGAGTTCGTTAAACCATGAGCGTGCATAAAAAGAACGTCCAAATCTGACTTCGTATGAGGAAGTTATGATTTTTCTAAGTTTCGACTTAGCGGTATGCAGCCCGAATACTCGATTTGAGATCGAGCGGTTTTTAGCCGAAACAATATAAATGAGAATTGAAGATCTCATTAATTGTAGTAAAACGATAAAAAGATAGGCGAAAACGGATGTCGGATGAAGAAGTTATGAATTTATAACGAAATTTTCCTGTCCCGGCCTACTAAAATAAATAATAAAAATAAATTCAAAATTAGCCGGCGGAGTCTAAATGAAAGTTGTAGATCGTGGTCTCACCTACACGGGGATATAAAAAACGTTGAAAACGGAGTTCGTATGAGAAAGATATGAATTTTTGAAGTTTATTAAATATGTTCGGTATTTAAATTAAATAAAAATTCGGATATTATCCAAAGGGGGGGAGTCAACGGGCTTATCCACATTACGCCCAGTGTAAGTGAGCTTCCAGCCCCCTATGAAAGGGTGTCGAGGGCAACCAACTTCTTTGCTCATTTCTTCCCGTTTTCTCGCGTTTTTGCATCATTTTTCGTGCAAGAAATATCCCGAAGCCCCGGTATCATTCCCGAGCCCCGAAGCAAGTCCCGAGGCCCCGAAGATCCCGAGAAGTGTGATTCCCGAGCCGAAGCTCTGCCCGCGAGGAGCCCGGTTTTTGTGAAGATCTTCCAGATCTACCGAAGAATACTACTTCTACAAGTCGTAGTGCTGTCCGATCATCTTCTAATCATGTGAGTGTGTGGTTACTTTCTTCTAACGCATAATTATTAAGTATTTAGTATAAAATACGTGTTATGTGTATATTTTGTTGTTATATGCGTGAATGTATATTCACTTTCTTCTATCTCATAGATCTGATTTATTCTCTATGAAGTACGTGTTATGTGGGTATGCCTCATCTGTTATGTGGAATAGGTATTGAATGAGAATGTTATACAGGTTTTAAACTATGTATAAAAATATATATTTTTATCTACTAATATGTTGGGTAGAACATGGGTAGATAGTTGATGTGTGATAAACAGATGAGAGGTCCCGATGTTGTTGTTGTTGATCTAGTTATTCAGCGAGTATAGATTAGACCAAGAGGTT